CTTCGCATATAATTGCAGTGCAAATTGAGATTCCAACGACTGTGATGCTGTCGGAGTAGCGGAGGCTAGATAACGATGTCGCCGCCATCTATACGGTGCCACGGTGGTGCTGGTTACTCACAGGGAGGCGAGGATGCAGAAACCCCTTCTCACAAAGAAATCCCTTCGTACCAGTGCCGAACTATTGTACAACACTGTAGTACTTATTTTGGGTAGAATAATTTTCATTCTCATATATAAAAGTATTGATTTTGAATTAATATTTTATTCATTTGGAATAAATGTATTACTCATTTTGAAACAACGTAGCATTCATTTTTACAAATTTATTCATTACCATTATAATATTCATTTACGAATAATATAATGTTCATTTTCAAACAACGCAATCTTCATTCTGAAGTAACTTACTCTTTTTAAAAACAACCTACTATACATTAATTGGAAATTCTTCTGGACCTAAAGGCAACCATCTCTGTTTTCTTCTTCGATCTTACGGCGCCTACTCCTCTCCATCTTCTATCGATGTCATCAGCACCACCAGCGAGTGCGACATCAAGGACAAGGACGACCTCGGACCTCTATCTTCTACAGAAGACTCGTCGGCTAGGGTTGCGGAGCCACCATCATTGCCACCACCACCTTCATATGTCGTCGATCACTGCTCATCATCCGATTTCCGGCTTTCCCTTCGTTGGTTTCTTCTTCATCCCCGCGACTCTCCTCCGATCTAATTATTGGCTCTATCAAAAAAATGGTACAACCGCCGTTGCCACATAATTTGCGTTCGTACAGAAAGTGAAGTTCAGTTAGGTGGCTCGTGAGAAAATAATCCTCCCTTCTTTCCATTCATTTTTATTTTTTCAATTTATAATTTAGTTTTACTTTGTATTAAAATCACATTAAATTATATCACATCTGATTTGTTCAAAAGTGATCAGTACAAATCAGATCTAATCAAGTATAATTAGATAAAATATATTTATATTAAACTAGATAAATTCATAAAAATATTAAAAAGTTATGTTAATTTTTTTATTATTGCATAATAATAGTTATATAAAAAATTTATTTTATATTATTTAATGTTGCATATAGTCACTAATATATTATTATAATGTTAGATATGATTAATTTTTTTTCATTATAATTATACTCTGTATTAATTATAAATTAAAGTTATCATAATATTTTATCTGTTATTAAATTATTGCCTTCTTTCGAAAAACGTGTGAAATTTGTTTAAAAACGTAAGAAAAGAATACACCAATATATATATATATATATATATATATAATTAATTAATTAAAATAGTTAATTAATTACTAAGATGGACTCGGTGGAAATTATGTAATATTCTTTGTTTGATAATAAAGCTTATACCGTTTTGTAAGATTCAACGGAACAAATCCAACGGTGTGATCGGATTTGGATTTGGAGCCCGTGAGCTCGGAAAGTGCGTTTTGGGCCAGGTATGTTAAGTTAATACGGAGTCCAAAACCCTAAACATAAATAACACCCTACACGCCCAAAATCCTTTTCAGACATCCCATAATATTATGTAAACCTTTTTCTCTCTCTTGTGTCTCCCTTGCCGATTGGAAATTCAACAGAATATAGGTAAGGATGGCAACGGGTCGGATTTGGTCGGGTTTGAGTATATTGAAACCTAACCCGACTTAAATTGTGTTCAGAATTAATTTTTGCGGGTCGTTTTTGGATAATTACTTATTCGATTCAAATTTGGTTTAAGATTTGGTCAAGTTGGTTATGATCAAATTCGGGTTTGAATACAAATAAAAGTATTCATGAAAAATTTTAGATTGAAATACATTAAAAATTTAGAATTTTAAAGACGAATTAAAATTTAAGATATTAATAAAAATAATTCTGACCGAATAACCCTAAAAAAATAATTAAACAACAAGCTTCAACTAATAATATACGGAGTAAAATGAAAATAACATAGAGGTAACACACAAGATTCATGTACAAAAAAAAATAAAACACAAAGAAATGTAATAAGTTTTTAAACATTCAAAACATGTGCATAAAAAATACATGGAATATAGGAATTTAATGTGTTTATAACTTATTGAAAGTCAGATACAGGTTGGATCGGGTTGATTATGGGTTTAATTGGTCAAATATATTGATCCAAACCCGACTCGACAAGAGTTCGGTTCGGTTTACGGGTTGATTATGAGTTTAATTGGTCAAATATATTGATCCAAACTCGACTCGATAAGAGTCCGGTTCGGTTTAATTAATATTCAGATCGGTTTCAAATATTTAATTTTTGGATTCAAATTCGATCCGATCTGGCCCTTATACGTCCAAATCGGGTAGAATTGACGATTGGACATCTAAAAACTCCGTCTCATTGAATTTTGAATTGAGGATTGTTCCAGCCAAAATTAGGCCGAACATATATCAACAGAGCTTTCTCTCAATTCTTTCTTCCTGGCCAAGACAAGCGAGACTGCTCTCCTGTTGATTTTCGCACATTAATTATAACCTAGCGATCTCGTTTTTTTACTCGATCGTTGTCCCTTCCTTCGTTTGGTGAAGGGTTTCCATGGCTGCCCGAAGGTTATACAGTGGAATACAGTGTTTGATGAATTATTACTAAGAAGATGGATCTAATTCTAAAGGTACTACTACCTTTTGATGGACTAAGTTATTTCACATATTTGCTGCAAAGAAGTGAAAACTGCTACCTAATGTTTTGTTTTTCAAAATTGTAGCGCAGAGGGAAAATTGTCCATGTTGCTAAGAATACAGTTTCAGTTGTTGGTTGTATTTTAAAATCTCAGGAATAGTCATTGGATTGCACTGCTCTTTTGCTATCTAGGTCGAATGCTGTAGAAATTTTTTAATGACTTGGTTTTATCTTTTGTCATTCTTAATTAATACAAGTATTAGTGGCTGATCTACCATAGTTAGGCTGTTCGTAGTGCCTCACCTCTTCACGATCGTGATCCTCTGTGGCAGTGCCACATAAGCATGCTTCCCAGGTGAACACTGCCCCCTGGCCTCTGTGATTGCTTCGCGTGATTATGCCTATGGCCATGGCCACGGGATGAAGCGCAGAACTGTTAGATTATTATGTTATTTATTTAGTTTATATTATTAAATCATTTCATTTAATTTTTTTACAATAACGTCAATTTTGTTCATTACTTTTTGTTTATAAGTCATTACTTGACCAATAATATATTTTCGGAAATCTTTTTACAAGGTCTACCCAACGATACCAATATTGCATATATAATTTTGACATTATGATGCGCTTATATTTTTGCCTAAACACTTTTGAATTGAACGAACTTTGTTTTATTATAATTTTTTTTGGTATGAAACACGTTTTAAGTATAAATTATGTTTCATTTATATTTTCCCCTTTTGAATTAAGTTAGTTTATGTTTTTTTGCCAAAAAAGTTAGTTTATGTTTTTTTATTTGCTATAAAAAGTTAAAGAAAAAAACTTGTGCAAAAAAAGTTTTACTTAATATTTTTCTTTTTTTAGAATGTGTCATAACAACATTATATAAAAAAAATAAAGAAAAACAAAAAAAGGTTTGAGCGGAAAGGAAAACAATAAAACCAAAAAAATAAAAAAAGAGTTTGGACGAAAAAGATAAAACAAAAAAAATAGGAATTAAAAAAACATAAAAATAAATAATTTTTTTACAAAAGATATAATTTAATTTAATTAAAAATAGATAAATATTAAAAAATATTATAAATTGTGTAATCATTGTAGTGGAAGTGGAGTACTATGGGTGTGATGTGAGTGAGAAGGTGAGTGCAGTCAGTGCTAATGTGGCGTTGACTGTTGATTTGGAGTGAGTGGCGGTGGAGCGCTACTCATGGTCTTAGTCTCATTTTGCCAATATTGGGTGTGTTGGAAAATGGCTTTTCGGCCAACTTTTAGTTTTTTTTACTGATTTTGGCTGAAACTAACTTTTAACATATGTATATGTTTGTTTATTCAAATGTAGTAATTCTTTCTTCCAAAATTATCTTAACATTTAAAAACTCACACCAATCATGCTCTCTCGTTTCACCATCTTGTTAGATTCGTCTTGTTAAAAAGTTTTACACTATAAGTTTCTATGAATTTTAATATTCCCTCATTTCCATTTAAAATTTCTCATTTTGACTTTCACGGAGTTTATTGGAAGTATTGGAAAATGAAAAAGGCGCGGTTAGAATTGGTTAAGAGGAGAGAAAGTTTCTTAGCCACGAAGTTTTAACTTTACTAGGAAGGGAAGTTTTTATGGGACGGATGAAAAAGAAAGTAAGAAGGTTTTTATGGGATGGAGGGAGTAAAACATACTTTAATTAATTAAGAATTGAATATGTACATTTGAGAATAGTGAATTGATACCTGGCATCTATAAACAACTGTTTTACCATTGTAGATGCAAAGGTATCAATTACTTAATAGTGAATTAGTTGATTGTAGATGCAAAGGTATCAACTGTCCATCTATTATTAATTGATTATCCTAGTTAGACTAGAATTAGAGTTGGATTGTAATATTATTGATTGAGTATCGTAATTAGACTAAAATTAGAGTTATAAGGGAATAAAACAAATATATATTAGCACCATCTTGTTATTAGATATGATCATCAATATGAACAGTTGTGGCTTTCAGCTTTAAAAGGTGCCTGAACATACACGTAATACCAAGAGAACTCATCAATTGGTATCAGAGAAAGTGAGATCAACATCTCACCTGTTTCAAGCTAGAAGTTGAGTATTTAGGTCACTTCATTTGAAACAAAGGTGTCCACAAGTATGTGCAGCACTGTGATACTTGTCAGCATAACAAAGCTGATTCTAGAATGCCTGCCGGACTGCTGGAACCTTTGCCCATTCTGGATCAGGTATGGTTTGATATCATAATGGATTTTATTGAAGGCTTGCCTAAAGCCCTAAACCAAGAGGGAAAGACACCATTCTTGTGGTTGTGGAGAGTGGACTGCTTGAGCAGGTATGCTCAGTTTATGCCTCTTTCACACCCATTTTCAGCGAAGGAAGCTCCAGAAATACTGGTGAAAGAGGAGCGGTGAAGCTACATGGGGTTCCACAATCAATTGTATTGGACAGAGATCAAACCTTTCTCAGCAATTTTTGGCAGGAATTATTTAAGATGCAAAGAACTCAACTGAATACAAGTTCAGGCCTTATATACAAAAACAGATGGGCAAACAAAGCCACAAAGGTTATAAATAAATGCCTTGAAAAATATCTCAGATGTTTTCTATTTTTTGAGACCACGACAGCGGGAGCAATTTCTAGCTTGGGCTGAATATCGGTACGACACAACCTATCACACCTCCATAGGAACAACTCCCTTAAAGCTGCATATCTAGATTTTAACGCCTATTGCCTGGTCAACCTCATGAACAATGGCTGTTCCAGCAGTCTAATGGATCAGCCAATTGCCGCTTTAAGGGAGTTGAAAGAACATCTTGACATTTCAAGGAATCGCATGAAGCAATTAGCTTGATCGACATTGTCCAGAGCATATCAATTGCTACGACCTTACAAGAAATAATCTATTGCTAGAAGAGCATATCAAAAGCTGGCTAGCATATGCTTTGTGCCATTTCTAGTGCTGAAACATGGGTCGATAATTTACCAACTACAACTACCTGAAACAGCAAGAACACATTGTCTTTCCATGTTTCTCTGCTGCAAAGAAGAGTAGGCAAGGGGGATGATGTCATTTCCACTTTGCCACGTCACATCAAGGATGGAGAATGAGTGATTGAGCCAAAAGAGGTTCTACATTATAGTTGGTCTGCTGGCAAGAATGGTCGAATTTGCCAAAGATGCTACCCGGGAGCCTGTCAACATGCTAAGAGAGCAGTACCCTAATCTCCACTTTGAGGACAAGGCGATTCTTGAAGGGCAAGAGAATGATGGGTTCTTGTCTTCTTTTTTTTGAAAGCGGGTTCTTGCCTTCTTGGTCTACACTAGATGCACGAATCCCAAGTTTTGTGGCGCTTAGGGATATCCTACTTGGATTAGGATAGATAGTTTCTGTAATTAATCAAGTATCCTACTTAGACTAGAATTAGAGTTATACAATGATATTATTACTTGAGTATCCTAGTTAGACTAGGATTATAATTATAAGGGCATTGAACAACTCTATATAAGCTAAAAATTGGGACGGAGGGAACTTATTTTGGAATGGATGAAAAGGGAAAGTTTGAGTTTTATTTAGGGACGAAGGGATTATTAAATTTACTAATATTTAGAAGCCCATGTCACCTAGTTGTGGTCTTGATTTTTAATTGTAGAATCAAGCATTATTGATTCATGACGCTTTTACATATCTCTTTAGGCACACACCACATACCATTCCTCAGTGAATGTTTTACAACTGGTCAACTGTGACTATATTTGTTTGACAAGAACATGTCTCCTTCAAAACTGTCAAAGTTTGAATATGAACTTGTGGTCAGCAATTCTCTCCCTTAATTGTCATTACACCTCAATGTAATCTTCCTTCATGACATTTGATCTTAAATTTCTGACAACATTTTATGGAGTTGTGAGTATGATGATGTTTGTTGTTCTTACAAAATTGAATGAGAGTATTATGGTAAGAATAAATGTTGAAGTTATTTGTATTTGTTGTTTGTGTTTGTTTTACAGTATCCTCAATTAAACAAAAAGGCATGTTTTTGACAATAGTGTCTCTTGTTTAAACAAAATAGGCATGTTTTTGACAATGGTTATTAATTATACACACTGATTTGTTAGGAGCGCTTTGCTCATATATTTTTTCCATCTATTTTATATCATATTTTAATTTCAGTGCTTATTTTCATTTACTAAAACATGCGTGCAGAACATTCCAAATTATCTTCATCAGGAATTCCTGCTTTCAACATACATGAATACCTGAGAATGACAATCCGGACAAACAGTCAACTTATTGACCATGGATCTGAGCAATTCCAAAAGAAAGCAGATTGCAGCTTAATGAACAAGAGTCCCGCAGGAAAAGAACGGCAAGACCCGGAGTTGGATTCGTATAGTGCTCTAAAAGACAGTGCTACTTCTAGCCTGAAGGCTTCTCCTAGGCATGACCTTGCCATGATCTATACGTGTAAGGTATGTGAAACAAGGTCTGTGAAGACTGTGTGCCGTGAATCTTATGAGAAAGGTGTGGTTGTGGTGCGTTGTGGTGGGTGCAACAACCTTCACCTAATTGCAGACCTGCTGGGGTGGTTTGGACAGCCGGGGAGCATAGAGGACCTCCTTGCTGCTCGTGGAGAGGAAGTGAAGAAGGGTTCAGTCGATTCCTTAAGTCTTACCCTTGAAGATTTGGCTGGAAAGAAACTTTGAATAGACCAAACAGGCAGAAACATTGAGGTGAAAATAGATGTTTTGGAATGCTGGAGTTTAATTTTCATATCAGTGG